ATTGAAATTGATTAGTAAAGTCAGTCTGAAAGTATCGGTAGTCCAGTCGTGCGGACAGCACCAGGTGACACCCTCGGTTGTTGTTTTTTTTGTGGGGGTTTGGGGGGTCGGGGGGGGGGGGTCTTCACATCAAATGGATATTTGCAAATTTTACAGAATTAGCACGGTTCAGATCACAGTAGGTGACCTCCAAAGCAGGTTGTAAATATAAAAGGTTGCTAACAGAGCATCTTCTCTATCCGGATCATCAACAAATTTATGTAATTTTTTTTTTCTCTCAGAAACATGTTCCTTTATTATGAATTTAAATTGATAGACTAATGGACTTTTTCTCCAAATTGAGCCTAAATATAGCTGGGTCTAAATAAAGATGGGTTTTTAAATCCATTCAACATTAGGATGTGAACCATTTTAATGTGTCTCTCTACTACCGTATTTAAAACAGCATTTCTAAAGACAAATCAGTAGGATGTTTAAGTGCCATTAATAAACACAGTTCTTAAAAAAAAAAAAAAAACTTAAATTTTAACATCCCACTAATTAAGGATTTCTGGCGTACTACAATGGAGCTCAGTGTTTATGCAGTTATTGTTTTTACTGTTATTTGCTAGTTGAAGAAGGCGTTCGTCGTTTATTTACGCCCCCCTTTTCGGGTTTTCCCATACCGGTACCTTCTTTCGCTTTTTCCCCCATCTATCTAACCTGATTAGAGTTTCTTCCCCTTATTACAATTAAAACAGCTCCACAACGCTATCCGGAGTACGTCACAGTGATGTCCCATGGGACAAACAGTGTTCGATTGGTCTGGAAGGGTGTCTATGCTGAAATACGAGAAGAACCACTACGAGGCTACAAGGTAAACTTTTACAGCTGACAATTTATCTGGCTCGAATGAAAATTCATGGTATTATTATTAATTTTTTTAAAAATATCGCGAAAAGGATTTTCTTCAAAATTCTTGGCTCAACACTTCACAAAGTTGTGTGAAAGTTGCAGCATAATGGGAGACAATTACATAGCATTGGGGAAGTAATAACATGTCCATTACGCTTTACAAAAATATATATAAAAAAGGGTTCATTAGAAGGAGAATATATTTGGAAAAACATTCCATTTCCCTTTAAATGCATGTATTAATATATCTTGTGCTTTATCAATAAATGAAATAAATCTCAAAAACATTTGCGGTTGATTGGGAAGAAGCAGAATAAGACCAAATAAAACTAAACAGACCCCCCCCCCTCCCCCACTCTTTTCAGATTAAATTTGTAAAACATTTTTAAGGGTTATAGTAAGAACTATTATGAGTAAGCCTATTATGTGAACTTGTAAACTTGCGTCACATTTACTAAAATAATGTGTTTGTTTAATGTTGGTCAATAATGATATTACTGATAAACATGTAGCCTACAAACATATCATCTTAAATATAGTCAGATTTGCTTAGAGCAAGTGAAACAAACCTCTGCGAGTATGAGATGAAGGCCAATGCTTAAGAAAAACGATTTGATACACCATTCATAAATTCACACCTCTGCCTCTCAATGGGTTTGCTTCCCGTAATTAAAAAAATAATTATTCTTTGGGTAGGGTGTTACATGATGAGTGGAAGGTTCTTGTAGACGGCCTATGCCCCATATGGGGTAGAAGGGCATAAGTAAGTAGGCAGGCCTGATGGTTAATTCTACACTGATTAGCCTACAAATAGACATTCTCTCTCCGGCCTGGTGGTAAAATCTACAATGATTGCTAACAAAAAGACATTCTCTCACATGCCTGGTGGTAAAATCTACACTGATTGCTAATAAATATACATTATCTCTCAGGCCTGGTGGTTAAATCTACACTGATCGCTAACAAATATACATTCTCTCTCAGGCCTGGTGGTAAAATCTACACTGATTGCTAACAAATATACATTCTCTCACAGGCCTGGTGGTTAAATCTACAATGATAAGCTAAAAAATAGAAAATCTCTATCAGGCCTGGTAGTAACATCTACACTGATTAGCTAACTAATAGACATTCTCTCTCAGGCCTGGTGGTTAAATCTACACTGATAAGCTAACAAATAGGAAAGTTTCTCTCCGGCCTGATGGTTAAATCTACACCGATTAGCTAACAAATAGACATTCTCTCTAAGGCCTGGTGGTTAAATCTACACTGATTAGCTAACAAATAGACATTCTCTCTCAGGCTTGGTGGTGGAATGCCCAGGAGCACATGGACTCTGCCAACATCACCAAGTTTGGCTTGATAACCACTGGCGTCATTCATGGCATAGAGGAGGACAAGATCTACAGACTTCGCATGATGGCATTCAGTCTGGGCGGCGACGGGCAGAAAAGTCCTGATGTCTATTTTACACTTGGTGAGTTACAGACCGATGAGCAGCTTTTGACGATGTCCCATTTCCAATAATAATACTACTGTGATAGTCGTTAAATAGGAATGATAGAGAAATGCCTAATCGTGACATTGGTCAAATTCATTTGAATCTTGAGCTGTATGGAACAGTAAATGAAAAACGTTTAACTTATTTCAGGTGGACAAGTGCAGTTTGATCCAGGGACCTCAGAAATTCTGAACTCAGCACCATCTCTACATCTGACTTACCGAAACGTGCTTCAAATGATGACCCCATGGCTTATCTTTCAAAATCTCTTATTTATTATCCACTAAGTTGTTATTCTGTAAATTTTCAAAATGGTGATAACTCATAAAGGGGCGGCCCTAAAGCCGTGCTCTCGAGGTGTGTTTGTCAGATTACGTGCTACGGAGGTGTGTCAGATTACGGCTTACGGAGGTGTGTCAGATTACGTGCTACGGAGCTGTGTCAGATTACGTGCTATGGAGATGTGTCAGATTAAGTGCTACGGAGGTGTGTCAGATTACGTGCTACAGAGGTGTGTCAGATTATGTGCTACGAAGGTGTCAGATTACATGCTATGGAGGTGTGTCAGATTATGTGCTACGGAGGTGTGTCAGATTACATTGCTACGGAGGTGTGTCAGATTACGTGCTACAGATGTGTCAGATTACATTGCTACGGAGGTGTGTCAGATTACGTGCTACAGAGGTGTGTCAGATTACATTGCTACGGAGGTGTATCAGATTACGTGCTATGGAGGTGTGTCAGATTACATGCTATGGAGGTCTGTCAGATTACATTTTACAGATGTGTGTGTTAGATTATGTTACGGAGGTGTCAGATTTCGTGTTATGGAGGTGTGTCAGCTTATGTGTAATGGAGGTGTGTCAGATTACATTTTGCAGAGGTGTTTGTCAGATTATGTTACAGAGGTGTTTCATATTTTGTGTTATGGAGGTGTGTCAGATTATATTTTTGAGGTGTGTCAGATCATGTTTTACGGACATGTGTGTCAGATTAATTTTAGAAGCAGCTCCAACAGCAATTTTTTATTTTTTAGATGAGCAGGTTTAGTCACTGTAGCAAGAACACACAATCCAAGGGATCTCACCTAACCTATAAAAATGTCAGGACCACTACTGAAAACCATCAGCACACTAATATAACGGGTAGTACTATGATTTAAAATGATTTAGTCCAATGCCCCAACCCTGTGACACTCTCTTTATCTCAATCCAAGACTTTCCTTTAAACACTGAAACATTGTATTCATTTTTCTAATAGTACACATCCACTTGGAAAGTTGAGATTCTAGAATGAATGTGAATTGCTTCATTTAAACCAGCGGTTCTCAAACTGTGTGTGGGTCACGACCCTTTTGGGGGGTTGAACGACCCTTACACGGGGGTCGCCTAAGACAATCGGAAAACACATATTTATGAGGCAGCAATGAAAATAATTTTATGGCTGGAGTCTCCACAACACCAGGAACTGTATTAAAGGGTCGCAGCATTAGGAAGGTTGAGAACCTCTGATTTAAACTATCAACTATTTTCACACTTGTCAGTTTTATTGCTTCTGTTCTAGATTTTTGTTTTAACTTCTTATCACGACCCGAGTCTCAGGAAAGGACTCCATGGTGGCATTTATCCTCATGATAAATGATGTGTTGATTAAATGAGATTTTATCTGTTTTGGGCTGGTGGTGATAGTCAGCGATAGCAGATATAATGAGATCATCTAATGACTTACAATAATTGTTTGTTCTCATTGCTGATACAATTGAGCATTGATGCTACAATTATAAAGGGATTCAACATATAAGGCACCATACTTTGCTTAATTTGAAAGCCCCTCCATCTCATCCCCCCACCCCCTACTTTGTAGCAAACCAGCATAAACCAAAGTTTAGAGGTCAACTTTTTTTGGTTTTTCTTCCCAGTGGATGAGTAAACTGAGCAGTATGTTATGCTGTTCATCTTTGTACATAAGGCATCAATAGTTCAGCACTGTGGGGTAACATAGCATGTAGACTGTTCATCTGCATACACAATGCATCAATATTTCAGCACTGGGAGGAAATATATCATTCATGTAGACAGACTATTCATATTGTCTTATTTTACTTGTCTTTAATAAATGATTATTAATGTTAAAGCTATCCAAAGGAGAAAGTAGCAAGGATCATTAACTAACTCTCATTTTGTAACATAACAAGGATCATTAACTAACTCTCATTTTGTAACATAACAAGGATCATTAACTAACTCTCATTTTGTAACATAAAAAATGAAAAAAAAAAAAATATTTAAAATATCAAAATAAAATTATAATAAAAATTTCAAAAAAAAAAAAAAAAAAAACAAAAAAATCTAACTCTCATTTTGTAACATAACAAGGATCATTAACTAACTCTCATTTTGTAACATAAAAAATGAAAAAAAAAAAAATATTTAAAATATCAAAATAAACTTGTTATAATAGTTTCAAAAAAAAAAAAAAAAAAAACCCAAAAAAAAAAAAAAAAAAAAAAAAAAACAAAAAAAAAAAAAAAAAAAAAAAAAAAAAAAAAAATAAAAAAAAAAAAAAAAATTTTAATAAAAAGTTAAAAAAAAAAAAAAAAAAAAAACCCTCAGAATTGTGATCAATTATTTATTCACTCACTCTAAAACTAATTGGAACAAAAATAACACAATATTAAGGACGGGGATTAATCAAAGGTATTTACATGGAATTCTAATAAAAATATAAAATGTTCAGAATAAAACTACAGTAAAAAAATAATTCAGAAAAAAGTCTATATAATATTTCAACAGCTTTGTAAAAATTCACAATGTTGAATTGTCCAAGAAGTTGATGCTAGAACAGAACATTCTGTCAAAGTAAACCATATAAATGTAGGATTGGACGATAACCCTGACCCGACATGAGCCAGGCTAGGCAAGAGAGGAATAGCCCATGAGAAAGAGAACTCCATCATAAGGTTTAGGCTTCAACTAGACTTGTAAAACATCACATCTCGCATCCTTAAAAAAAATTATTGGTTGTAGATTGCTACCAACATGCTTTAATAAAATCATTTTAAAAGACATTTCCAGCCAGGGAGGAAAAAACCTCTATAATAGTAGAATTAATCTGCCAATACTATTCAAACACCGGAAGTGGTTATATTTACAAGGGTTTACTGTTGTAACTCATGCATGGTAGGCAGCTTCTTTTTGCAAGACTGAATAATAGTCTTAGAAACAAGTATAAAGATTGACATGAGAGATATGTGACCAAACAGCTTGGGGCTACTTTTATATTATAATTCAAAATATGTTGGTTTTAAAATCATATTTAGTTAGATCTTTAAGGTAAAAGAAAAATAATTCCTCTAAGTATAATTAATATGGATCCGTGAAAAGGTTATTTCTCCCATTTTGGATGAAGAAAAAAAAAAAAAAAAAGTTTAAAATGATTTGTAATGAAAAGAAAACAATTTCAGTATAACATAACACTTGGTCCTATCATAACAACAATAATCAACATATGACTTGTTTCTTATCTGGTGGAAATAGACAACTTCAAAAACAGAAGGTTATTACATTGGTTAAAAATATAAAAATTGATTTTTATGACTATGAAAAACTCAGTTTTGAACTCGCATGAAAAATATAGATAATAGGCAGGCACGATAATCTCAAGGATATTAGTGGAGAACCAGATAATCTCAAGGATATTAGTGGAGAACCAGATAATCTCAAGGATATAAGTCAAGATCATAACCTCAAGGATAATTTCAAAAATAAAAATTGGTAATTCTTTGATTAACACCAATAAAATACAGCAATACTAGTTAAAACAAAGAATATCAATTATTATTTTTAAAAGCCAAAAGTTGTGTGATCCTTTGACAACAGCAGTACAAAAGATAAAGTCGCAGCTATTGAAAGACATTTCCAATTATTTATTATATTATGAGCTCTGTTTTTCAAAAAAATCACGGTATCTAGCGGGAAGCCACCAAAAAAAAAAAAAAAAAAACGAACAAAAAACCCCACATTAAACTATTAATATTTTTTTTTGCCCAGTTCAAAACATATGAAAAATATGTTTTTATTTATTAAACTTCTGTAGTTACTTGAATTTTGTCATTTCATTGGTATGTAAAAAAAAAAAAAAAAATGGGGAGAGAATGCTATCATGCCACTGGCATTTCCAGTAAGTTCTTCTGCAGTTTTGAACAGCAAATTTCTATTGAATTACTAAGATCTATTAAAATGATGTATTAGGGTTATTTTTTTAATAATCTATTACAGTTAGTTAGTCTATATGGAATAACACTCAAATAAATCAGACGATTTTGATAGATAGCTTAAACTACTTTTCCTTTTTCATTGAGATAATTGTTCAGCTTTTATCATTTGAAAAATTAGAACAAGGATGAAATAAAAAAATATCCTGTATGTGAGATAAAAATATTCTTTTGTTAGTTCATGTACGGTACCAAAATAACAATTTGTATAAGAAAATAAATTAAAAAGAAAGAAATTTAACCAATGAAACTTTTTTTTTTAATGTTAAATAAGCCAAGATCGCTTACATATCACAGTAGAATTCCACAATGAATGATGACTTTACTGCAGAGGTGGGCAAACTGGTGTCATGCGGCACAGCAGCTGATGTTATGCGGCCCCCCGAGGGCATTTAGAAATAAAAATAAATTCCTTTGTTTTCAAGTTATCTTGTTGAATTTTACAGCATTTCATTTACCGTTATGATTGCTTTAACATTTTTAATAAAATTTCATTCCAATTTTCTATTTTTGTAAACAATCCTTGACCATCGTAATGTAATGCTAATATGGCAAAATATCTATGCGGCCCTCCAATAGCTTTTCTTTGTCAATGGGGCCCTACACACACAAAGCTTGCCCACCCCTGATTTACAGTATTAAATTTCGTACTTGCAATCAGGTCAATATATGCACAGCTGTTTTCATTTGAACATTTTTTTAAATTACTGACAATCAGGTTAATATTCAGAGCTGTTTTCATTTGAAATATTTTCATTACCCGTAAATAAATTAATATCAAGAGTCCTACTCCAGTTGAACAAGATAAAAAAAAACTGTAAATCCAACAAACATACCAGTGATTATAAAGAGTTGCTTATTTAAAAAAAAAACATAGTATTTTTTAGGAATACACTTTTACAAATAATTCTGCTTAGAGACAATCAGAGGTTTTAAGCCCCATGCTGAGTGATAAACAGATTTCTTTAACTTCAAATAAGTCATGGGATTTCATTTTTTGGGGTGGTTTGAAAATAAAGGCTATATTGAAGGTGACATAACAGTCTATGTCAGCTGATACACCATATAATTGATAAAATGCCTTGAAAATAAAGGGGAATAGTGGTACCGGTACCTTGAAATATCAGATTCGCCAGGCTGTCTTAATGCCCAGTGATTTGAACATGTCATTGCTTGACTTCAAATATCAGTCTTTAAAAGAGGATAAAGCTACTGCATCAGCATTGGATGACATAAAGAGTATAAAAGTGTGAGGCAGAAAAGAGTGAGGAAAAATCTGCACCAACTGTGATGTTTAGATTTGCAAAGATTACATAATCACAACTGTTAAGCCCTAAGCATTAAATAAGGTTTCTGAAATCTACCTTAACCCATATTCAGACTTAAATTAATCACCAGAATCATTATGATTTATCAAATCAAAGAGCAAACAAGATGCATTAGAAGCAGACCTGTTTACCCTCAAACTCTTAAAATCGTACAATATCATCAGAAAATCAATCAATACATTTTCTTAATAGTAAAATAAACATCAGTATATATAATGTATACACCTCAAAATCGTACGTTGTACGCCAAAATCGTACGAGTAAACAGGTCTGTAGAAGTGAGCCTGGCAGTAAAAAAGAACTGAATGGTCATCAGATTTTTAAAACCAGCTTCACCTTTTGTGCATGTACCAAACACATAGATCACAGTAGCAATATGTTCAGTTCTGAATTCAAAAGAGTTTATGTGTTAGACAGATGAGAAAAAAGGCTATAACAATGAGACATACGTCTGGATAGGAACTTGCAGTCAACATATTTGATTAATCAAGACCTCAAGATTGTAATTAAATGAGTGCTACAGAAACAAAATCTCTAGTTTTTAAAACAATTTTTTTAAGCTGTTGGAACAATTTTTTAAAAACTTTTCACACAAAAATATATCTATTAGCATAAATGGTAGTTCCACTCGAAAGACTAAACTAAAGAAATAAAAGAAAAAAACTTCCATTGCTACTATCTATTTTACTGCAGAAAATTAATTTCCTGTACTCTGTGATATACTAAAATGTTTAATACGTGGCAAACAGTACTGTTTAACTTAAGGTTTTACATCTTGTTTACTCTGCAGTTAATGGTATGTATGTGTTTAATTGTATTGTTTACTCTGGGTCAACGGTATTGTTTACTCTGATGAACCAACAGCGGTGTTACTTTGATTAACAAAGCTAAACAAATACTTTAATAGCTCTGGGAATTGTGAATTCTGAAAGTGACCTTTATCATTGAACTTGACAAGCCTGCAGCCAAGCCCTTGTGAAACTTGTTCTTGCTCTGACCAGGGGATGAAGGGGTCATCAGTTGAGCCAAACTGGACAAGAACTTGAGTGTTTGACTTAATTTTCTCCCACTCCCAAGGTCGGTTGTAATAGCCACTGGCTTTTTCACTTTCATCTCCTAGATCTGTAACACATGCCGACACAAGGGCTAGACCAAACACCTGCCAGAGGAAAGAAATTTTATTAACGCAAAAAAAAAAAATTTTTTTTTTTTATACACCCTTTTCTATTTATATAAAACATTTTGTTTTCAATTAGTCTGTTTATCTCACAGAGAGAGATAGTTCAACAAAAAAAAAATTGACATTAGACTTCATCCAATGGAACAAGAGTGAGGAAGTATGCCACTTAAACCTGATATAGCAACTTCTGATTTGTCCAAGGTCATGTTGGGATATGCATACATGCTTGGTTGGGTGGCCCTTATACTTGTGAAACCCAGAGTAACGGAAATCTCAATCAGGAAGTCAGCAATGAACGCTGAGTGGAATTAAAAATCAAAAGTCTTTAAAAAAATAGCTGTAATCGTATCAGATCAGTTATAGCTGCAATAAAAATATAAGCGTTTTGAAAATATAAAGAAAATAAGTTTTCACATGGTTGCTTTTAGTCTTTAAGTAAACTGTTTTTTTTCTTCTGATCAACTGACAGAGAAATTGAATAAAATAAGGAAATTAACCACCAAAATAAAGGATAAATATTAAAGAAATTTTAAAGACGAATTAAGGAAATTTAATCATTCTTATATATTACAGCGCATAACATAATCAACTTATGATGCCGATCCCTTACTTTTGGTTGAAAAAAGGCATACAATTCAATTTCCATGTATAGTGTGATTTGTTAAATAAACTTAATAACTTTGTCAGGAGGGACATAAATTATTTATTTAGCTGGATTTAAATTCAAAATGGGAATCTGTATTGCTAGAGTTTGCATAATTAACCGATGAATCATCTCCAATAACAACTAAATTGTTTAAAATTTATTAAGTCCATTTTTTGACAAAATTGCTATTCATCAGTGTAAGAACTTAAGAATTGTCAAAAATTGGATTTCAAAAGTAGATGTTTATCCATTTAGTGAGGAATAAAACATGTTATAAAATTGTGAATAATGCAAAGATCCAACCTTAAGAAGCATATTTTACCATAAGTTTATAGCATTATATGCAGTTCATGTATTTCTTTCACTCATGATTCACAAGTGAAATGTAAAGATTTTAAATAAAAATTAAATTTATACATTGCGTATAGCTTGTAGTGCACAAAATGAAGTTCAGACTTTGTGAATAGCTTAAAATTTTATCATATATATTGAAATTCATAATTTGACAATAGCTTGTAGCGTACATACCATGAACTCCATTCAAAAGTGGACACAATATACAAAAATTAAATTTCATCACATTTGTTACTATATAAATTTATTTTTAATACATCTCGGTATGGGCTTATTTTTATTATCTTTGTTCTGTGTGACGCATGACCTGATGGCCATCTTGAATTAATAAGAAAATGAGTGCACATTTTAATAGAAATTTTGTGTTGAAAATTAATAAATATTGATAGACTAGACAATTTTCATAGTCACTGTTATCACATGATGCACAAGCATTACAACGATGTTTTTTATTTAAGTACTTTATAACTGATGTGGTGAAGCATTTAAAAGAATTGACACTTGGTCTGTTTTTGATTACCTGCATTCTGACGCCTTATGTCAGTTATAAAGTCATGTTACCCCGGTTACATTATTTTGTCTTTATTATTTTTTTTAATGTACTTTCTAATTAGCATTTAAATGTGTTCTTTAGGAAAGTGAACACGTCAGATAATTAGTTTGAAAAAAATATATATATTTCAATTCAAGCAAATTCAGATGAAATCAACAAAAAAAGATGTTAACTCATAAGTTAAGTGTTAATGTTACGTCAGTTTCAATCTCAAAATTTATTATTTTTATTGTTATGCTAATTATATATTTTGTAAATGCTTTTCTTTTGCAGTCTACTAACTTGAGACCCAAAACTATTTATCATTAAATTAAGCACATTTAATGGCATTTTTAATTTATACTGGATGCAAATGTATTTTTATGAAAGTTACGTCAGTTACGATGGATTTCACAATACAGTAATTCTAATTTTGTTTATGGCTAGAAGTATTTAGCATAAAAATCAGTCATACAGTCTCACAGAGGCAAAATGACCCTTCAATGGATCCCAGGACACGCGGGGATGCCCCCACAAGACAGAGCTGACTATCTTGCGAAACAAGGCTCTTCCCAGCCTCAACCTAACTGACCAATGACCCAACTGGGGGCCAAGGCCTAGATTAAGGACCTCTTCCATGAGGAATCGATTAAAGAATGGGAACAGGGTACCACACCCCAAAAATTTACCCAAGCATGCTGAAAACAAACCGAAACGGGCGATCAATGGTAGAGTCTTAAACGCCACCAGCAGAGCCTCCTCACCCAGATGAGAACAGAGCATTGCCCTACCCGTAGCTACCTCAATAGTTGCACCCATTGCGGGACCCGAGCTGCCGTTATGTGGACAGGTGCCGGAGACAGTAGAGCACATTCTAGCAGAGTGCTCAACATTAGCTCCCAGCCCACCACGTTGAAAGCGTGATTTATGGGACTGCCCAGCAGATGAGGCAGGCAGGCCTGTTCCATACTTGTCGTGGCTATTAAAGAGCAATAGCTTGGTCCCTTACAGTGAATGTAACATTTCAGTATACAAAATCTTACTTTGTGAGTTTCAGCATATCTCATGGCTGCTTGTGCACCAGAACTGTGTCCCAGTATTATAGTGTTTTCATCACAATTCAGCTCTGAGAAAGACAGAATTAAATCTTGATTATCAACAATTCGAGAGTAATATATAACTAACACTCATAGCACAACCACTACTTTTTGGCAATGATGGTAAATTTTTTTGATCACAAAATGGGGAATTTGTAAATGGAAGGAAAAATGTATCGTTTCTGAGAGTTATAGCTATTAGTTTTTAAATTTGAGATAGATATTCTTTTGTGTCAGGACTAATTTATGTTTTTAACACTAATTTTGTTCATATTTAAATTTTTTTTTACATTAGACTTATTTATTGCTACATATGACTATAGACACAAATTTCAGCACTCATCCATGTAAATCATTTGTGTGGATTCATTTATGAATCTGGATTAAATATATACTCAAAACTATTTATTATCAGTTATTGAATTAATTTTTATTTTAAACTAATTTACAGACTCAACCTTATTTCTTAAACCCCATAAGTGCTTTGTGTGTTAAACTGATACCTTATTATGTCTATATTATAGAGTAAAAGTTTTCTGTAAAATCTTTCAATTTAAATAAATATTTTCACCTGACTCCATAAAAGGTAGCCACACTGATTCCGAGGCCCTGATAGGATCAGGCATGTCCCTTAACTCACAAGCGGCTCCACCCTCTCGTAGTTTCCTAGACAACCAGCCATACCAATTAGAACGAGTAACATCACCTGCTCCATTTCCTGGGATGATCACAAATTTGGTCTTGACATCATTTGAGGTCATCTGAATTTAGTATTTAAAATGATAAATATGAGATTAAATCCTCTAGATAACACCACTGAATGCCACTTAATTTTTTTATGAACATCAGTATCCATGATGAGTTTAACCTTAATTGATAACAAAGTGGCACGTGTTTTGTCTTGTTTACCTCAAATAACATTTATTTTAAAAATACTTCATTGGCAAAAAGGACTGACTGGAATTACTGGGAAATCTGTAGAGTTGGAAGTTTCTATGTGGGTTAAGATCAGATAGAGACATTTTTCAAACTTACAACTGCTAATAATTTTTTTGTTTCAACCAGCTTATGTATTAATGTTACTACTAACTATAACTAGTATGGAATTGCCTCATTTCCCTTGTCTTACTTCACATTTTAATATTTTTAAACCTGTTTCAGAACTTGAGGTAAAAAATATAATCCTAAAATCTAAACGTACGTCATGTTCTTTGGATCCCATCCCAACCCCCCTGTTGGTTGAGTCATTAGATATCTTGCTCCCAACAATAACCCGCATAATAAATGAAAGCTTATATTCTGGCACTGTTCCGCCTCTTTGCAAATCAGCTGTCATCAAACCATTGCTTAAGAAGCCCGGTCTGGATGAAAATAATTTAAAAAACTATAGACCTGTATCTAACTTATCATTTTTATCTAAAGTTATTGAAAAACTAGTCCTAAAACAACTTTTTGCTTACTTAAATGATCACTCTCTTCTCAGTTCTAATCAGTCGGCCTATAGACATTTCCATAGCACGGAGACAGCTCTCTTGAGAGTCAGTAATGACCTCTTGCGCGCAATGGACAGCGGTAATGTCTCCATTTTGATCCTCTTAGACCTCAGTGCGGCCTTTGACACTGTTGACCATGAAATCCTTTTCAAAACCCTTGAAAACTACTTTGGAATTTCTGGTTCGGTTTTGGCTTGGTTTAGGTCCTACCTCTCTGATAGAACGCAAATGGTCTCTGTCGATGGCTGTCTCTCCGGCAGTGCTGATTTGGTGTACGGAGTGCCACAGGGGTCCGTTTTGGGTCCGGTTCTATTCATAATGTATACCAGACCACTACTCCTCTTGCTCGGGAGGCATGCTGTTGAGAACCAGTCATTTGCAGATGATACGCAGCTATACATGCATACCCATCCATCTCTTGTCGATTCCGCTGTCCAGACTTTGCGGGGGTGCATTGATGATGTCAAGTCTTGGATGACACTCAGCAAGTTGAAGCTTAATGATGACAAAACAGAAGCACTCCTCATTTACAATCACAAATCATCCTCTACCTCAACTCTTCCCACCTCATTTCAAGTAGGTAACTCCGACATACAGTTTACACCCTCTGCTAGGAATCTTGGTTATATTCTTTCTAACAACATGTCTCTCGATAAACATATCTCTCACATTTGTCGTTCGGCATACACCGCCATCCGTCAGATCAGCTCCATCCGCCACTACCTGACAGTTAGCGCAACAAAAACTCTAGTCTGTGCTCTTGTTCTCTCTCGTCTTGACTATTGCAACTCACTTCTGTCAGGTTCACCGAAACATTTTATAGAAAAACTGCAGAAAGTTCAAAACTCTGCTGCTAGGCTTGTTCTTAGGGCAAAAAAACGTGATCACGTCACTCCACTACTCCACTCACTACATTGGCTACCTATACAGGCACGCATTGACTACAAGCTGTCTCTTCTCTGTCACAACTTTTTCTCGGATTCCTGCCCTTCCTATCTAACTGAACTTCTTTCTGTCTATTCACCCCTTCGACAACTTCGCTCCTCCGCAGACTCGCGTATTCTGTCCGTTCCCAAGACACGCACTAAATTATATGGTGAACGATCTTTCTCTTTCTGCGCCCCCAAACAATGGAATTCTTTGCCACTACACATCCGCAATATAACAACCACACAGGCCTTCAAAACTGCACTCAAAACACATCTATTTAAACTATACTACTCTGACTGATTCTCCTCCTATAAACCGATAAACGTACATGGGTTTCCTTGTAAAAATGTCTGGTGTGGGTGGATGAATATACCTATGGTGTTGTTTTGCTTATATGTTGTTTTTATTTCATTTATGTATTTTATTTTAATATTATGATTGCTATATTTATGTACAGCGCGGTGAGCCCAGCCCTAGGCCGGGGTACCGCGCTATATAAGACCACTTATTATTATTATTATTGGGAGATAACTGGCTAACTAGAATTTTCTAATCTAAAACCATTGCCTGAAAAGAAAAGATATAATGTTCTCTCTGTGATTTTGACAATATTTATATAATAATACATATAGGCTATAGGCCTGTATATTATAATAGATATTAATTTATTATGTTCATGAACTTAAATAATGATGAAGTGAAGGGAGGCAACTCTCAAACTCTCTGTATCTTCAATTCCATCATTAGAATATTCATAATTAATAAAATCATAAAAAGTGCAGAGGTTGGAGAAAAGACTTTCCCAACACATGGAGTAAAAAAAATAGGCCCTTCATAGACTGATAAATTCAAAAGTCATTCTTAAGACATGTGTTTGGGCCTTAAATTAACTATTAAAATAATTAATTATTCCCCAACTGTGTGTGTTCTCCACAGTCCACATAATTCACATAGCAGGGGCTCTGCAGCTGCTCTGAACCCAAGAAACTTCTAAATTTATACTATTACTATAAACCTGTAAGGTAGCTGTTTCAGGTAAGCCTAAGGCCACTAGGCTAAGGGGCTCCCTCACAGTGCCCATAACATAATCATTATCAATTGCAAATATATACATTAATACATGTACATCATTGATTCATTAATTTAATGTTTTTAAATAAAGTAAAAAGGGCTCTCAAATCAAATTTGGGAACCATTGTACTACACAGGGCAGGCCTTAGGCCAATGCAACCTATGCAGCTGCTGTAGGCCCCGCACTTTTATAGGCCCCACGCTAATTCTAGGTGTAAATTATTAAATTAAACCATTATAACTTATAATCATGTATAGGTCAGCGTGTTTATTCTGTTTTTATAATGTTTTTTAATCTATTTTGTCGTTGTTTCAAGTGATTACAACAAGTAAATAAAATTTTTTAAAATTGTAGCTGCTTGGGTGCTTTAATCTCTAAACTCATCATTTAGGGGAACTTGGGGTAAGATGAAAAAGACACTGTTGTTAACCTTTTACAGTCCCAGCCTTGTCTAAAAACATGGAAGTTTTTGCAATCTTTCCAGCCAAACGTCAAGGGAAAAGGCAGTATGATAAATCTGTGGAAAACTTCACACCTGGAAATGCTGAAGATGACCAAAGGATAAATTGCTTCAACAGAATTGTGGACATAGGATAAATTGCTTCAACAGAATTGTGGACATTGCAATTCAATCCTTGTAGCCGAGATTTGAACAGCTGAAATCAAACCACAATCTGTTTGAGTTTCTTGTCAGCTTCAAGAGCCTTCAGCGTGATGACATACAAAAGTTTACAGCGAGCCTCGAGCAAGCATTGACGTCATCAAAAGACCAGTCAGCAGATATACGTGGGCGAGAATTAGCAGATGAAATGGAATCTTTAAGGCATATTCAACCAAATACCGCCAAAACCCCGGTAGAAATTTTGGCTTATCTGTCCACTAATGAAAGATACACTGCTTTCCCAAACTACTTTATTGCACTCAGAATATTTTGAACAATACCTGTAACTGTGGTTTTTGGTGAAAGAAGCTTCTCGTGCCTCAAACTAATCAAGAATTACTTGAGGTCAACAATTCACGAAGATAGATTGAACAATTTGGCAATTCTTGCTATTGAGCGTCATCTATGTAGGTAACAGAATTTTGATAATATACTGTATGACTTCGCTACACGCAAGGCTCGTGAAGTAAAGTTAATTTGATCGTGATTTTGTACTTAGTAAAGAATGAATAAAATGCAAAGACGAATTTATTTTCTAATACAAAATCTACTTATTATTCTTATCCCTACCCAGACTGGGCCCCGCGCAATCCGTTTCGCACAGGGCCCCGCAATTGTTAGGGCCGGCCCTGGTACTACAACTATTAATTATCATAGTGATAATGTCAGTCTTCTACTTCAACAATAATTTGTATTAAGACAATTAAAAAGTGAGAATAAAATATCAAGAATTAGAATCATCTAAATAAAAGCTGCAAAACACACAACACATCAGTACTGCCAGTAGTCTTCATGTAATAACTTAGTACTTACTAACAAGGCCTATGCCATGGTCCTATTTTTGCCTACACTTAACTATAGTCATATAAATATATGATATTGTGGCTGTTCATCATTGAAAATGCCACGACGTATTTTTGGTAGAGTCACTTCCTTTTGTTTATTTTTAGAGAATTATTTTGTTATGTCTTAGTATTAGTACGCTGATGACCTGTTTTGTATTAAAATTTTAATTGGTTGATTAATTATAATTCTAAATTATGATTGGTTGGCTAATTTGCATATTTTATTTATGACGCCATATTGCCAACATTTTGGCAGGGCTTGCCGGTTCTTGTGCTCCATTCATTATCTGGATATTATTTGTGCAATCTGAATCTGAAATAAAATGTGTAAAAGAGTATTTCATGAAACTGTAATTTGGGTTTTCATTATTTATTTATGTTATTATTATTTTTCGCCAATTTTTATTGATTTTTTATTATTTTTTTTAGTTAATTCCACATGTTTTACTTGTGGCTTTGTCTTTAGGGTTAGTTTTAGGGATCGATTTAGGGTTCAGGTTAGGCATAGGGATCGATTTAGTGATTTAGGGTTCGGCATAGGGATAGATTTAGTGATTTTAAGGTGCGGGTTGGGCATAGGGATAGATTTAGTGATTTAGGGTCCGGGTTTTTAGTGATTTAGGGTCCGGGTTTTTAGTGATTTAGGGTTCGGGTTAGGCATAGGGATAGATTTAGTGATTTAGGGTTCGGGTTAGGCATATAGATCTTCAAAAAAATGCTATTAATTTTATTAATTTCCTTTCATTTTTTAAAAATTAAAACATTTTTTCACCCTCGTCTTCCTTTTTAAAAACACATGTTTTGCACTGCTTTTCAGCTGTCGTCTTGGTTGACACCTCATATGTGAAGTGTTACGTGAGGTGTCAACCAAGATGGCGGCGACTGATAAAATAGTGGCATTTTCCTTCACTATTTACCGATATTGTTGATAATATATTATAGGTAAATGCTCATTGTGGATGCCACTATTTTCTCAATAGCCTATTTATTATTATTTTGAGTAATAATTTAAAATTTGGATGTTAACCTCAGTCAACTAATGATAGTCTAGTCCAGAATTCGGCAAACTCACTAGTCAAAAGAGCCAAAAATCAGCAGCAGGACGATTACAATTTTTTGAGAGCCTAATTTCTTTGCAAGAACCATGTTTTTGGAGTCAAAACGTATTAACGTATTACTATTACTAGTATTAGTGGCCGATTGGCCGAGCCGCAATTTGCCGACCACTGGTCTAGTCACTACTATTCTAGTCGTAAGGCTTAGAGATCAACACAAAGATACATGACGGCTCAAACACCGTGTTTCATAAATAAAACCAGTTACCTTATCAATAACGAGGAGTTGTCAAAATTGTATCCAAAACTTTGTCTTTTATTAAAATCTTCTAATGAACCTTATTTTTACTTTAGACAATAGTAATAGTAGTAACAGACTTTCTTTTACCTCCGGAACTCGCCATTCGCGATTATATCCCCTTGCCCCACTGTTAGGGGCAGGGTGCGCGCGCACGTACATTTCACGGCACGCTGGGATATTCCTGATGGGTTCGTAAGCCGCCATGATGGATCAGAAAATTTGTTCAGAAAGTGAAATATTTGAAGATGTAGGATAGACTTATTTGTGATTTAGTTGATTCAAGAAGGATAAAAAAATGTTGAACTGATGTTCTAATAGGGACCGTCTTGTTATATTTCCCTTCTAGGGAACTATTAAGCCCGCATTGTCGGGTTAATATTTGGACTATCTCATTAGCATATCCGAGCCGAGGACGATGAGCAAGGTTTCATTTAGGGCTCGGGCGCTGGACGCCTCCAAGCCCATGCCTGTTTATAAGGCTTGTGAGATTCCAGACATGAAAGATTTTGCACAGATTAATAGATCTGTTCCGCAAATGCCTACAGGAATGGAGAAAGAAGAAGAAACGGTGGGTATGCTAAGGTGAACTAGTGTGCGCCTTAAAGTTTGGCCGCCATATTGAAATTTTTGTTAGTTTGCTGCAGAAAGTTAAATTTTGTCTTGTATCTGACGTTTAAACCATTCATATCCATGCCACGAAGTTACTGCTTGGTCCTCTTAAATATTTCTAAATAGTTTTTAAGTAAAACGCTGATTTATAACATTTTGTTGTTTTTTCTGAGGGGAATCCCCTCTGTGACGTCATTGGTTATGAACTGACTGACCTACTTCCTTTTCTTAGTAGGCATACAGGGTGTCTACTACAATATGAGTAAAGAATACTACATAAAGAATTTGGGGTTGGGGGGGGGGGGGGGGAGGCAACTAATTGATGCATCACCGGGATTAGATAATGAATTGATTAGTTTTTTTCATACAGGGTGTCTACTACAATATGAGTAAAGAATACTACATAAAGAATTTGGGGTTGGGGGGGGGGGTGGAGTCAACTAATTGATGCATCACCTGGATTAGATAATGAATTGATTAGTTTTTTCATTAGCCAGCACCAATGTCATTTTGATTTGACTCTTCTGGACCTTTTAATTGTAGTTTGTAGAATAAACATATTTATATTTTTTTTATTAGGCCTCTTCAACATCCTACAATCATAAACATCTTGCCCAATAAAAAAAAATGTGTGCACTCAAATACATCTTAAAGTTAATTATTAAATAATGCATAATTCCCTTAAAAAGGTTTGAAAATGTGGCATTCATTCAATAGACTGAAGACACCAATCCTTGGGGCAATGAATTATTAGGCACCAATGATTCTGGCATTAGATCAGGCATCAAGTCCTTCCTTTGGGGCATTCCACTTGAATTCCTGCAGTTGGATAGCACAGTTTGAAAGAAACATCTGTTGTTCTCAAACTTTTTCCTGTCGCCATCCTCTGGGGATCATAAACCTCATGAGGGATGTCAGAGTTTTTCAAAGTAGGATAATTAGAGAGTAAGATTTTTGAGGATTTAAAATCTTAATATTAACTTTTCTGAATGGGCTTGATGATGTGATACAAGTTATGGCACTAAACTAATGATAATTTTGAGAGGAATAGTTGTAAGTAGGAAGAGCTCTTCGACCATTGAGTCCATTGCATGGGACTTTCCAGGGCAAGTAATAATTAATGAAATTTTAAAAGATTCATGAAAACTATAGGTGTCTTGTGAAGAGCATGGGAAACTTACTTGACAGTACTTGCTTACTTTTAACTCCCTTAGGCTTAACTACGACTAGTGTTGTCTATTTGCAGTGCCTAACAAAGAGTACATAAGTATTTAATAACATTGTATTTTTGTTTACTGCTATTTTACAGCTGTTTTAATATGAACATTTCTTTTTGGGGCCCTCTGTTCTTTGTCTCTGTAACGGACAATGTGTGTCTGATAGAATTATGTCTTACGGCTGTTGTTACAACCCATTATATGGTTTTGCAATTTTAATCTGTTTTAAGATTTGGCTGGTTACAATAAGTTACATATAGCTAAGTTAGAAGGATTGATTACCCAGACCTGCCAACCCTTCCGATTTTGTCGGAATTATAGAGATTTTTTACCCCTCATTCCGACCTTCCGGCAAACCCCTTACGATTCCAATTTTTCAAACTTTATATTCATAATTTTTCACCCGTCATAAAAATCTGTGAGCGACCAAAAAATAAATTAAAATATTGGGTACGACAGGAAGTGTTGCACTTGTTTATATGGAGTGCATACATGTCCGGCGACTGGAGGAATAAGTGAATAAATTCTCGAGATATTTGTCCGGCTATTACATATTCGACCAAGTCACAAGAAAACTGTAACAAAGTTGAGCGAGAAATTTCAGCCTTGTCATGTGACCGCTAATTGTCTATCAGAGTTTACGATACTTCATTTAAACAAATTCCCTTATCATTTCAACAAATTCAGCAGATAGTCTGAACATTTACACAAAAAAGAAATATGTTCAATTCTACAACAGAAATACTAGAACCACTGCTGGTATATAATGAACAATTGCTTAAAAAGTGACACAGCATCACCTGGTGTTAGTCTAGTCCTCTCTTTGATGTTATCTTCACATCCTTTTCTCTGTCTTCCTCTTTTTCTCCCTCCCCTTGTTGTGCCCTACATGATTTCTTTAGCCAGCCCTTGTTTCCTTGTTAAGTAGCCATACCATTGCAGTTTGTACTTTTTTACAGTCACCAGGAGGTCATTGTCCTGCCTAATAGCCTGACGAATCCTTTTTTTTACTTGATCATTGGAGATATGGTCTCTTTAGCAGATGCCAAGAATGCTTCTGAAACGTCTAATCTCCATTGCCATTATTTTCCTTTCAAGTTCTGCTGTTAGTGTCCAGGACTCACAGACATATCGGAAAATGGAGGGTACTAATGAGAGCATCAGCCTGATTTGTTCTGGGGGCTATATTTTTGTCGTTTCATATTTTCTTGAGCCTCTTTAGTGCTGTTGTGGTCTGGGCAGTCCTGGACATCAATTCGGGCTTGGGGCCTTCTTCCGAGACTATTTGTTACGCACTGACTTGTATTGGGAGAAATTAATCTCCTATTTTAATTTTAATTGGCTCGTTGTAAACAGTGCCTAACAAAGGACGATACCATAGAGTCAACACTATTAAAGATACGACACCCAAAACAGTTGCCAGTTACAATTAATAAGATTTATTAAGTCTTAAGATAATTACAAAAGAAAATAAAATAGAATTACAATCTTCAACTTACAGTATGGTAGATCTTGTACCAGTACACAGTTAATACAGTTAGAATAATGTGCCAATGAATAAGGAAGAAGTGCGAAATAAACAAATATGAGTATGAGGACACAAATACACAAAGAATAATACACGCCTCGTAAAGTTAATATCTATCTGAATCTCCGTCTCTCCGTCCGTGCCTGTCAATCCCTCATATAGGTCGCGTAAGCCCTGCCGTCCAGAAAGACTTATGACGTTTCTAGAACAATCACAATCATTCTACAAAATACTATTTGGAACAGATTAATTATTTTTAGTGGCTGGCGACATAAACACGACAGATCAAACGACTAAGCCACACCCCTCTGTGAACACAGCGTCTCATGCAAGGTCAATTCAATCATTCCTCCCCGACCTTAATTTTAGTGGCGATGCCGGTGGTGTTGTTTGTCATCAATTATAATACTGTTCTGTTAAAATATATCAATTAAAAAAAAACAGTAATCATACATAATTATATAATGTATATGATACAATTTAATTTTATTTTGTTATGTTAGTGGTTTGTAATCTATAAACAACTTGAATTATTTGCTACTGGGAATAATGTTATGCTATTAAAATGGATATACAGCATTTTGTCGCTAAGTTACAGCTGGATACACAGCATTTTGAAACGAAATAAGAAATTCAACCAAGTAAATAAATACATTTTAATTAATCTACATTTCAATTTTCATCATAATCTAACTTATATTTTGAATATATACCTAAATTAACATTTACTTTTCCGAAAATTTGAGCCATAATTTTGTAGCAGAAAAAGTCGATTATCTCATAACGCCGATAATGGAGATACAGCATTTTGAAAATCAACTCTTTATGTGTAAATATGTATATAAACATTTCAAGTAATGTTTTTCTCATGTTCTGTGGACTCTTCAAAGACAATGGAGATAACTTTATATATCTTTATTTACTAAAAAAAGAAGACTTGTGGATTAGTATATACAACTTAACTCTTTCCCTCCAGAATTATTTTCCACGTTCTGACGGAATTATCTATTTCGGGTTTTTGTTACGCACTACTATGTTTTCTCTAAACCTTCATAACTTTTTTGTTTTTAATCAGAAAATGTTAATATTGGTAGGGAATTAAAGGGAAATGCATGCTCTTTGCAAGCAAACAAGATTTGGGTTTAAATTTTAATAAATAAATGTGATTGTGATTTAGGAAAATAAAAATTTATTTAAAAAAACTCACCAAATGTTCACAAAACGCTCCTTCAAAGTCACACGAAGAGAAATATATAATCCAAAGTGTAACAAAAATGTTTTTTTTCTGAACTATATCCAAATGTGCATCACAAATAATAAAGATCAACTTTCAAAAAAGAAAAAATTAAACCTCAGAGCACATTATCCATTGTCACCACCACGCAAAAAATTAGGAAAAAAATTTAACTAATTCCACTGGAAACAATCTGTTGCTATTTAAAAAAATAATTGCAGTGTATCCTTGTATGTACTAAAATTTATAATAGTAAATGGAGAATTTACCATACATTAGTCACATATTTCCATCTGGGTTTAGCAATAGTAAGCCTAAAAAACAATCCATATGGATGTGCCCTTTAGCTTGTATCCTTGTATGTACTAAAATTTATAATAGTAAATGGAGAATTTACCATACATTAGTCACATATTTCCATCTGGGTTTAGCAATAGTAAGCCTAAAAAACAATCCATATGGATGTGCCCTTTAGCTGGGGGGCGGGGCTGGTTGTTCATCAGCTGATGAATTACCAATTTCATTATTTTGTCACTAGTACTA